AGTTTCATTAGTTTTTTTTTTTTAAATATATATATATATATATATATATATATATATATATATATATATATATATATATATATATATATATATATATATATAATTCTGTTGAACAACAATTTGAACAGTGTCTGATTTTCACTGGTTATTTGTCAAGAAGTTTTTATTTATTATTGCTTTTGTTTAGTTTCAAGTTATTTCAGTGACCATTGGTGAGTTTTCTTTCCTTACCGGAGGGGTCAGTTTCTGTCAGTTGTCCTCAGAGGCCAGAACTCAGATCTTGAAATCAGTACCGTTGTTCCTCATTACGCACATTATGTACAGTGCATAGGGCAAGTGCTTGAGGGATCCACATTTGTGAATCCTCGCAAAACTACTGGCGCAGCATTCGGCGGTGTGGTCCAAGTTACACATCGGATGCTCGTTCCTGTTGGCAAATCGTCCAAAATAATGACCAGTATATTACTAAAGACTTTGGCTCTGTCACAACACTGTCATTTATTGTGAGCACGGAGAAAGGATTTCAATCATGTGTCAAACAAGGAGAAGAGCTTCAGAAGAGAATACAAACTGTACTCGTATAGAGAGGTCTATACAGAGACATCTTATGTACAATATATATCCAGTGTCTTGTCTAATTTTATGTAAAAAAAGTTTCATGCGGCTCTTCAGGAGCTTTCACATAACATGCGTCGAATATGCTTGGCTGGCGTTACCATTCATTCCCCCTACGGCTAGATGGCACGCAATGTTAACTGTTGAAAAACAACTAATATTATCATGTTGGTGTGGTTATTTTCATTAAATCTGGCTGAGCATAGGTCTGTGTGTGCGTGCGTGTGCATGCATACATGATTAAGAAATGGGATGATGTGTACCCATGTGTATGATGTGGCTCTTTGCAGTAACACAGAAAAAAAAGTGGCTCTTAGTCTTCTACTAGTTGGCCACCCCTGGTTTACATCATCAGTCTCCACTGGAAAACATCTGTGTTCACCACGGAATGATCCTTGTCTGTGCTGCTCCTCTCTGCATCGGCTTTTGGATCGAGTGGTTTGTTCTAACTGTGGAGGCATCTCAGGTAGTAATCACCAGGGCGGACAGCACTGCCCACAGCCAGGAGGTCCAGTCTGGTGTCAGTAGAGCTTCTCTGCCTTGTTTTGTTCTGCTGTAAAAGGGACGCCGCAGAAACTACGATAATATGAATCAAGACCCAGGAAATAAAATCACCAGAAGAAAACATTCTCAAGTCTGTATTACAAAGAACATTGTACACCAAAATATTATTCACTTTATCTCGTTATGTATTTATTTTTAAAGCAAACCTAATCTACAGAATTGACTTTTCTCATTTCTCATTTACCCTGGAGTGATGCACAGTTGTGTGTTTGAGCAAACTTTCTTAATCAGTGATAAACATAGTATTTAGATTTAGCTTGTCTCGTCATTTTGGTACAAATAAAAATACAATCTGCTAACTGCTTAGCATGATATGCAGCTGTTCATCAGAGGTGTCGACAGCTTCAAGGATCTTTTTGTGATGACATTTACACTGACGTCACCTTCCACTGGGCACTGCAGTTTTCTAACATAGAAGTCAGACAACTTGATTCTTTCATTAATCTTTTTAAATGAAAATTCAGATTTAAAATGTAAAAAAAATATATAACATTGAACCACAAGTGTCATAGATTATATATAAATAACACAATATATGTGATTTACAGTGTTGTGCATGAACAAGTTCAAAAGAACATGTTTATTGAACAAGTTCATTTTTCAGTGAACTTTGAACACATTTGTAAATCAAGAACTTGAACATGAATTTGTTCAAATTATGTGAGATGAACGACGTACGTCACTGTTGAGTTTAATTAAACGTCTGAATTTGTTTTCACCTGACGAGTGACGATCTGCTCGCACTTAACCTTGTGAAACCACAGCCGCGCGTCAACGTGAATGCAGCTCCACCGACAGCTCTAGCAGAACGTATTGACTCTTGTGTCTCTCAGTGGGAAACCCGATCAAACTTGACACTGAGCGTTTAGCCACTACTTTCTGTACAGGCTGACCACGGCAAACGCAAGGATTTCAAAAGTAAATTTTAAAGCACTAATTAACAGTCTATGTAAGTAAGTAAGTAAGTAAGTAAGTCTTTATTTATATAGTGCTTTCACAGACATTTTCTGTCCCCAAAGACGCTTTACACAGCATTATTCAGCACTATTCATTCAGCATTCATTCATACAGCATTATTCATTCACTCTAAACCCTGATGATGGTAAGCTACTATTGTAGCCACAGCTGCCCTGGGGCTCACTGACAGAGGCGCGGCTGCCATGCCACTCGGCGCCATCGGTCCCTCCGACCACCACCAGCACTCACACACACACCACTTTCATACTAGGCAATGTGGGTGAAGTGTCTTGCCTAAGGACACAATGATTGAATTGAGGATGTGGAGCTGGGCTCTTTCACACGACACAGAACTGCCCCAAGAGCATGATGTGCTGATGGTAAACGCACAAATACAACAATAGATCCATGCTCTGTGTGTATTTTAACGGGGATACACGTCTGCGTTCATCTAGATCAGGGTGCTCACACTTTTTCAGCATGTGAGCTACTTACAAAATGACCAAGTCAAAATGATCTACCTAATACAAAGCCAAACAAACTGCACTGAAACACTCTGTGCTCCTTTTTTGGACCCTCACCCACAGTTTGAGAACCTCTTCTTTAAGAGAACTTCCTCTGGTACTTTACACAAAACTGTGGAAAAAGTGATGGAAGTAGGTAAGATTTTTAAACCTGTTTTTTAAAGTTCCAAACTGGAGTTTCATTCTTTTCTGGTTTTGCAGTGATATTTACCAGCCTCTGCACGTTTACCAAACATATATGCTTCACTTGTTAGTAGCCCCATACATGAACCTAAAGTAGTGACCAACCAAAACACACACTTCTCAATCCACGAGGCTCGTGGACACCAAAACCGAGCAAACAGTGGACAGTGGCTAACAGTGGCGCTTGTAACGATCAACAGCAAATACACACAAGAGCTTTACATAACGAGCCACGACTCAGACCAGGCGCATCAGGACTGGAGGAGCAGTGGTAATATAATAAAGCCATATGTTAAATTATAAACTTGCAAACTGTAAATATAGAACAGAGGTTGCTGTGCACGACAATCCCAGAAGTGAGCTGAGGTCAAAGAGCGAGACACTTTGGGGAGTGCCCTTTTATAAGCCCATGTGCCACCTGGTGGCAGAAGGCAGCAGGCGCACACTGCTACATCAGGAACCATTAGCAGAAGGCATTAGAGAGCATCTAAAATGTGTCTCCAAGTGATGCACCCGCCCTCTTACTCTATCAGAAGTGCATCAGCTGTCAGACAGTGAGTGACAGCACAAGCCTGGGCTACAAGGGTCTGTGTGGCAGGTATCACTCCAGTTTAAACCCCACTAACACCATCAGATACACTTCACAGTTCAGCTTTTGTTTAACACATCAGATAAAGTAAAGTCATTCAGGATTAGCCTGAAATCAAATGCATTTCCTCCCAGCACTATGTTTAAGATTGATGTTTGTGGTAATCATTCAGTGATTCCTGCCACATTTGGAGATTTGAGTCTGTCTGGCTGCTGATAAAGCCTCTCCTAAAGATGATGACTTTATGATTTTATTTGGTCTGTTTCTCAGCTTCAATCCAATGCACTCTGAGCAGTCAAACCAGCCGCTCCCTCACTCCAGATTATCAGCCTTTTAGCCTTGTTGCCCCCTGTGCCATTCATAATGAAAAGCCTGCTGCCTCAGGCCAGTTTGGATCTATCTTTGACCCATCACTGCTGCTCAAACCATGCTTAGAGTCAATCAATAAAAGTGAGGTGTGCTGGGACAGGCAGCCCACTCATCTGTCTACAGTGTCCAGAAAAAGGAAGAGGCAGGCCATGGGGAGAGATCAGAGTTAGTTGAAGGTCTAAACTGGACACGCCAACCATGGACTGTGACACTATTTGTGTCTGTGTCAGTGAATCATGAAGAGTAGATACTTTATATTATCATCCAATCAAACTCAGTTTAAGTGTCATGTGCTTTTCATGCAAAACATGTAGCACACAGTACAAAAAAAGCAGCCTGTAATAAACCAGTCCCATATGCCCTTCCACACAGCCACTCTACCCCCATTACACACACAGGCACAGTCACATGAACATAGAGCTCATATGTGTCTCCCATGTCCCTCCTCAGAAGAGCGGATAAAGCAGAAACACCAAACCTCCAACAGGGGCCCACAAGATGAAAGAAAAGGCCCTCGGTCTTCCTCTTCAGTGTCGGGTGATGTTGTGACGCATCTGCTCAGCTGATTTGAACAGATTGTCTTCCTAGTTGAAGCAGTAGAACAACAGCACCATCTGCTGTGAAAAGTACTGAGGTGATGTGAAATGATGCTGGGCCACCAGCACAAACTAGATTTCTGGTCTTTTTTCTTTTTTTCTTTTGTATAACTGTTTTTATTTACATTATTCAAGGAACCCCTGATAATTTACACAATGATACAAGAGATATTCTTAAATAATCAAGCAAAACAAAAACAATTTACCACATACAACACAGAGACAAGTACGAAACCACCGCACACACACACACACACACAAAGGCAAACATCTTTTCATATTTAAATACAAGATGGCCCCACACACCTGATGATATAGTTTGCTCAATACTTAAATAATATTTCATTAACAATTAAAAGTTCAAAGACAAGCCATGTTCAAATTGCACATTAAACGGTGCATAAAGCAAGTCTGTGGGACTTTAACTGCCCTTTACTGTTAACAAGCTTAACTGTCTTTTTTGTGAGGTTTTGTAAGTGTTTGTTACCTGCCTACAGACAACAGATGGAAGTTACCAAGTTTGCATTAATTTTGCATAATCACACTTCACTAATGAAGTCAATGTTTGATTACAGCTTTAGATCAGAAGACACACATGACACATTTATAGTGAAGCAAAAGATAGTTTTATTTATACTTTTCAGTAAATCCATTTACATCATACCTTCAAATAAATACTCAAAGAAATGAGTGAAGCAATAATTCAAAGTTAATTTAAAACCATGTCCAATGTTAAGTGTGACAGTAAAAGACCTGTGAACATCTGCAATGACGCTCACTTCAAGTCTTAAACATGCATAAACATATTTCTTACTATTTGTAATAATCATTTCTGATGGAATATGTTTTGTGAATGAAGTTACAAAATATAACACATGCACAGCTATAAGAAAAATAATTCACTTTTCAGACACATTCATTGAGCAGTTTTTTTCCTCATATATTACAGTCTGGAGTAGTTTGCTCTGCTATATTTGCAGATGCAGTTAATGTGACAGAATCGTTTTTCTGAAGATGAAAGATTATTAGTTTCATCGCCGAATCAAAGTTCATAATCCACCAAAAGCAGGAACATCATCCTGAGGCAGTGTCTAATTTGTTGAGTTGTTGAGAAGCTTCTGAACACAGTTTCTGTCCACAAGAGTGTGTGATTAGGAGGTCCAGCGCCACCACGCCACCCTCATCCGGTCCCACACTGCCCCAAATGAATCAAAAGCAGGTCGTACATCCAGGATGGAGAACTGGTAGTTGTCTTTGTTAATCTCTCCATCATAGTAGTCGATGACATAGCGCACCTCTTTGCCACAGCGGTCTACAATCCAATCATGGCGGTCAAATGGCAGCTCATACCTACAACAAGAAGAATGTGCATTCAAACTCGGTACTGATTCTAATCTGAACACCAGTTACATTCAAGTATTGCTTTAATTAGTGCTGTCAAAAGATTAAAAAGAGATTAATTCATTAATTAATTATGATCTGTAATTAATTCATCTATTATTTTATTTTTTTTTTTAAATCTCACCTAAAAATTGCTGAGAAAAGCCTCAACTTGAGATATTTTCATCTGAATTCATTATTACATTATTGGGCAGATCAAAAAACTAAACATGTATATAACAAAAAAAATTACTTTATACAGTCATTTATTGTTTAGCGAACTTTAACAGATGCAGTCATTTACATTCTGCTGCATTTTTGGTCAAACTCTAAACAATTAGAAAATACAAATAAAAATATAACCGCACGCGGCAACGATCAGCCCTTGCGTGTGTCTATGCCGTGTCCCTCAAACGCCATGTCCTGCACTAACCCTAATATCCCTAGGCTTAAACCTAACCCAAGTAGTAATCTTAACAACAGACCCAACACTAACCATACCTCTTAACCTAACCCTGTCATTTTCAGGCAAAAGGACCGGCACAGAACTCCGAGTGCCCAATCGCACTTTGCCGACACCTGCTCCGGGTGCTCGTGCTAGGGGTTCTCTCTCTTAAGTCTGCGGGTACCTGAGTCGGTGCAGGACTCTGACCCGAGCTGCCACAGTGAGAGCTGGAGAGATGCAGCGGCACTTGTTCCACTTGTCCCACGCTACACAAGCTATATCCAAACGACAACCAAGGTAGATGTGCATCTGCGCAACAAGCACATCATCGGAGAGAGTTCTCAGTGCCGCTGGAAATACTATAACACTCTTTCTCCCGATGCGATATCATCACATACTGCGCTGTTGAGCCGCTATACTGCACCGCAGGAGAAATTCCCTAACCGCGACAGCCCTAACAAGCACACACTTCAACAGGAGCTTATGCAATCTGGTCAATCTACTTTTCTTGCCTTTATAGCAGCTCAGGTCAGAACAGAGGACAGGACTGGGAGGCTGTGTGCTGTGATGGAAAAGTGAGAAGAAATGCAGCAAGATGTATATCCATTTACCGAGGAGAGCCACTTTAAACATCAACAAGAAGCACCACTGTGAAGCACCACTGACCCATGTGCATCCCTGAACTCGTGAAGAGGCTAAAAGTGAAGGCTTAGAATTGGGCTCAATAACCACTAGTACACTGCTGGTATAAAATAATAAGTCGCACTGTTCCTTTATTACAGTACAGCCACAAAAAAAAAAAAAAAAAAATGTACCCATTATAGAAAATAAATACTGACCAAAATTGTTAAACATCATGAGAAGCCTACCCCTCACCACCAAGCAGCACAGTCAACTACAACACCATCAGTTGCAAGAAGACTTAATTCCAGTCTGAAGAACAGAACAGCCAGGAACAGCTAATGCAAAGGTATGAATGTAAACAGGAATCAAAAGCACTGACCCCATCCAGTGGCGCAAGCGAGCCCTGGGGGAGTACTCTTTGGCCTTCCCTCCAAACCTCTTCAGTGTAGGGCCACACGGGCACTCTCTGTAAAAAGCACAACATTAGACATTAAACATCAAGACTGATTAAAGAGACTGGCTGCAACAACTTAATGAAGTTGTTGTTAATAATAATAATAATACATTTAAATATTACATCTACATATATAGCAAGAATGTTAATTAATATGCATGTAATAGACATTATTCTATTTTGATCTACTGATCTATTTTGGGGAAAAAAATGCTGTATGGTTTTGAGTCATACTCTATTCAAAACTCTATTTAGTTTCACACGACTATTAAAATGGTTAAAATAAGGGTACTATGTGTAGTTTCATTGCAAGAATTAAGTGTTATGTATTAAAACATTGTAATGTCCCATCTTTTAGTTCTGTTTTACCACAGTCCTATAGCACACCCTGGACCCGATCACTCAAAACTGAATTCAGCTGACTGGCTTAAAGAGGCTTAAAGTGGATAATAAAACCGTAAATCAACTCACCAGTACAGATATAGATTCATAACACGGTAAAACAAAACAAAACACTACACATAGCCCCTTTAATCAACAGTCAAAAATAATAGTTAGTTGCAGCCCTACTACAGAATTCACAGCACTGCAGACAGTATATATTACTGTACTAACTGGGAATGCAGAGCCTCCCATTTGAGGATCTCCTCCCAGGCCTGCTCATTGTTGCGATTGTGAATTTTGATTATGTTACTCATATCTTCTTGAGCCAAGTCATCTTCTCTCCAGCGCCACCTGCAGCACACAGAAAGACACATCTTGTTCAACTAAGCCGTAAACTTCTATAGAGCTTTTATTACCCCCCATCCCCCCAAAAAGAAAATGTGGTTGTAATCTTATTTCTGAAATCTTGTTTACCAGGTTGTCATTATCAGAAAACACTATATTGCAAAAGTGTGCAGATTCTTACATAATACATATTTTCCAGACTATAACCCTGCAGCTTATACAACAATGCAGTTAATATATGGATGGATTATTTGTTTGGAAACAGGGCGGATGCGTGCGCAGCCCGAGTGCAGAAAGAGCCACTGTCTGTGCATTTAACATGAAGTTACAGCATTACTAACGCTGATGCTGAAGTGCAATAAAAATAAGTTATCATGCAAAATTAACATTAGTGAGTAAGATAAGCCTTACTGACCCATATGTGTTAAAAATGTTAAATGATGACAAGAAATGTCTTAAACTTCAGTAGCTGGACATCCACCCATACCTGATCGATACAACTAACCCATGGGTGGGCAAACTACGGCCCTTTAAACCTTTTCTGGCCCATCGAACTTGAATAAATTATAGTTATAAACCTCGTTAATGTTTTATTTTTCCTGCATTTCCGGCGTTTCCCAGTAGATGGCGCACTCTAGATACATTGACCTTTGCTGAGATGCGGTGTATTAAGTTGCGTTCATGTGGATGGAGTTCTTTTTCCGACATGTGAAATTCCCCCCCCGGAAAAGTCATTTTTCCGATCATTCTGACACGACATGAACACATCCTGAGAATCGCACAACAAAACTAACTCCAGACTTTGATGCGCTGGCTAAAAAGGGACACCAACAATACTGTTCCACTGAAATCAAAAGCAAGTTTCTCTGCTGTTATGTAAAACAATGCATTTACGTTTCATGTCATTTCTGTTAAGGTGTGCATGTGAGTGGTGTGCAGGTGCATGTACGTTCTCATTGAGTGCGTACACATGCACATCAGTATTCCAGTTATTGCCATATCCCGGTTATGTCAGTATTCGGGATACTGGGTATACATGCGCGCTGAGAAACCAGGGCACTCATATCCCTGTGTACGTGATTAAATGGAGTATTCAGCTGCTTTAGTAGAGGAAGCTCTGGAGGTTCTAACCTGTGGTGAGGAGCTCTGATCCACTGCCCAGATTAGACCCACAGATCAAACCCAACGTTTCCAAACATTGTACAAGTTACACACACACACAGACGTAAACTCAACTTTACAACATATTAGGGCCCGACAGATATGGGTTTTGTTGTTGCCGATATGAAACCGATAAAATGGGAGTTGGAGCTGCCGATAGCCGATATAATCGCAGATATATTTAGTGATGTAAAAATTAACTGTAAATCTTGAATTGTTTAAAAAACAGAGCCAGAAGGTTTGGCTCTAGTGGATTTTAAATTGGGTTTACTTACACAACATTTGTTGTTATTGTGACTCTCTACGTCATATTTACAGACAGTAGTTCGGCCTAATGGCATTTTTGCATCACATTCTAGACACTAGTGAGGGTATTTCAGTTCTTTTTAGAGAACTGGCTCTTTTGGCTCGACTCACTAAAAGCAGCAAACTCTTTTAGAAAGAACCAAAACTAGCTTCAAAGTCGACACATTTCCAACACTCAGCGCTCACCCAGGCTCCTCTCACATCACAAGTCTGCACTAATAAATGTGATGTAAACAAGCGCACGTGAGTGACGTGACTCTGGATGTGTTCAGGGACAGTACTGACACACACACAGACAAATGACTCCGCAGATAAATACTGATGTGGAGTCACATACTAGGACATTTATCTGTCTGTAAACTGGATTAAATGAACATAATGTAGAGAGTCTAAGATTTATATTTATAACGACATATAACATGCCCACGTGATATATCCGCAAGATTTTCGGCAAGATCAGCCAATCACCGCCAATGATATCGGTCAACTGATATATCCAGGCCCTACTGCTAAGTCCCCTGACCTGAACCCCACAGAGAATCTCTGGGGTATTGTAATGAGAAATGAAATGAACATCGTTTTCAGAAGATTGATATTTCAGTTTAAAATTTTTTATTATGATTATATATAATAATATATATATATATATATATATATATATATATATATATATATATATATATATATATATATTACATACACACAGAACTATTATCTGTGAACTGCAATCAATATTCACAAAATTCAAGAAATAAACTTCTATTTCACTCTATGTGTCATGAGTCTATATAATATGAATCTGACTTTCTGAAATGAGTGAAAATATTGAACTTTTTCATGCTATTCAAATAAATTGTGATGGACTAGTAGGACTTTCATATACTTCCTTCATGTGACTTATACTTTTTGGCAGCACTAAGGTGACAGACGGTGACGACAGGCATACCCTTTGCGAAGCATGGCGTTCCAGAACATCTGCTCTGAGGGGTAGACCCACTTGTTCTCAGTGCCATGGCGGGGGATATTGGACTCCTCCCGAACCACAGACAAGGGGAAAGGTTGGTCTGGGGCAGGGCTCTGATTGGGAGGGGGCATCTGTGAGAGAAGAAAAATAACTTGGTTATATGAAACACAATACATCACAATAATGACGGCAAAGAGAATTTTTATTATAATTCTGAAATTTCTAGCTGGTGAAATGGTCAAAAATGTGTTAAGACAAAAATGATGTGTTCATGGATCGCCCAACGGTGGAGAGGAAGAACCCAATGCGGCGTCTTCCACCGAGTGAACCCTCTCTCCCAGCACATGTCAGAAGAACTGCAGTCATGGCTTGCCCAGCAGAGCAGCGGCCCTCTCAACAGCTCATTCTGCAGTTAATCCTGCCTCACCAAACCAGGAGACAAATGCACGAGTGGACACAGCCCAAAACTACAGAAATCTGACTTAAAAAAAAAAAAAAGCTAAGCTTTTAACCCTAGGGAAAAAAACTCTCTGGCCTTGTTTGTTATGAAAAGTTAATGAGTTTTGACCTTATTGAAAACGGTTCTTGGGTTGGTGGTTGTTCACAACAACAATTATGCACAGTGTAGTGCATAATTCAACACCAACACAGCTGGGCATATTTCCATGAAAATCCGCTTCAGCTGGACAGAGGCTAAATACACCATAAGAACTACGCATGCTGGTGAAAGCACAGAAAGTTTTTTTTTGTTTTTTTTTACAATACACAGACAGACCCCCACCCACCTGAAGTCGATTCAAATTTTCTCATCAGGTGAACTTGTCAAACAGCATTCATACAAATATACATGAGCAGAGTGTTTTTGTTTGTTTGTTTTTTGCCTAATTCCTAGTACTTTTACTTGCATTGCAGACTGTGTAGACCGGCCCAAGGTGTGCTACTTTAAAAAATTCTGTTGTAATGCGAGTAGGGCAGAAATGTGCCCTACTATATATCTATAAAATACAACACAATAAATGTACTGTGTGATAACAGTAGGGATTTCCCGATCACATTTTTTTGCCCTTGAATCCGAGTCCGAGTCCTTTGATTTTGAGTATCTGCTGATACCGAGTCCCGATCCGATACTTCTATAAAACATTATAAAATGAACTAAGAGTAAAGAATAAGATCCAGGATGTGTGCAGGATCAGACTGTGTTGATTTCAATGTGTTGTATTTGGACTGAACTTGTGAAAAATCAAATGTCCAAAACTTAATTTTTTAAATTAACTTTTCTAACCATTCACCATCATTGTTGAAAATCTAAACTTTTCACAGTCTGGTCTTGGAATGTGTAACTTAGTAAACATAATGAACTGGACAAAACGGGAACCAGACCAGAATCAGATCAGACCTGAGACTCGACTCTGCACAATCTACACTTTGTACATTTGATATTATATGTTTGCATGTGTATTACATTTGAAACATTTAGGCTCGTCCATGAAATCAAATAAAAATGAGATGACAGAAGCCCCACAGCCTCTCTCCCCCTGCCGTCCTCACTCCCCCACACCGCCACCACAAACCCACAGCGATGCGCATCATAACATCGGTCCCACCGCTCAATACACACATGCCCCTGGACGGACCCTCACCGCCAAAAGCGCCAGTTCCGCTGCACAACATGCACACATACAACGACGCTATCGGCCGCGCAGGTGTGAACACGGACCACAGAACCACAGGTAACAGTGCCCGAGCACTTCACATCCCAAAAGTCCCAGCTTTCCGGTCACGTGATCCGATCGGGACAACCCTAGATAATAGTGTTTGAGTTTCAAACCTATTCATATATCTCTTGGCCCCAAGGTCTGTCCAATGCCAAAGAGGACTGAGGAGACATGTGAATGAGTAACTTGAAACACACAGTGAGTACTTGCATGTAGTTACCATGTTGGCCGGATCAATGTCACTGGCTCCTTTAACAAAGTCATAGGCACGCTCCTGGTGGGCGGGGCCTGATGATGACTGGTGCATGGGACACTCTGAGGGAGGAGGAGCTGCAATAAGGAAACAGATATGTACATGACCAATTATTACTGAAATCCAGATACAGAGGGCCTTAGTTATCAATCCAGGTGCTAAACTGAGAGTATAAATTGAAAGATATTATGCCATTTGTGAGCATGTTACATGTGACTTACTATTTGGAAGTGTGAGTTTTATTTTGGCTGCTACTGCTGATACGTGAATGACAGTATACAGTGAGTGCGGGAGTGGAAATGGCAGGTGAACCTGCGCTGTTAAACTGGGAAGAAATTTTTGCTTTGGTCTTTAAAACAGGATGACTGATCATCTTAATACATGTCTTTACTGGTGTAGCAGCTATCCAGTGTAGAAAGTTTGAACCTGTCTCTAACATAATATCACAGTTTTAACCTGATACTTTTGATAAATCTGATCACTTGTAATCAACTTCATTTAAATTTCAGCAAAGCTGCTCTTCTTCAGAATACACATGGAATCGTTAAAACATTACAAGGAGGAGAGGTTTAGTAACTTTACATGCGGGCAGCCTTGCACTGCATTGGCAGTATGAATCAGAAGCAGAGCCATGCCTCAAAAATACATTACTTGATTATTCTAGCAGATGTAAAACAGGACAAAAATGCATGACTACTAAATTCAGGACAACATTCATACTACACTCCACACAAGTGTACAACAGGCCTCATCACTTACCTCTGACAGCATGGGCCTGATGCATGGGACACTCTGACGGAGGAGAGGCTGTGACAGAGACATGTTGGTATTAATATAGAGGACTGCAGTATTCTTACCTCCTAAACATCATTAATGCCTCCTCTAGGAGACTATTCAGGGTTAACAAGGTGAACTGTCCAAGAAAAACTGTTTCAGTGGCCTAGAGAAGGTACCGTATTTTCCGCACCATAGGGCGCACTCTTAAGCCTCCAACCTCATCCTACAATCCAGAGTGTCCTATACACGAAGCCACTCGGGTGTCCAAGCACGACTTCAGTAAACTACAAAGCCACACCACCCACAGAACACACAAACACACACGGAGCAGACAGCGACCGCACAGCGACAAACACCCACAGACACACTCATCACTCCACGCCGATGAGGAACGAACGGAGGAACGAACTGAAAAAGCTAGTGCAATGTGCCACTTCTAGACACAACTGAACAACTGAGTCACTGCGAACACACCGATAATCCGTTGGTCCCAGACAGCACCCTCCCTACACACCACAACTGAACAAAGCCCAGAGTCACCGTGAACACGACAAACAAACAAAACCACTCACCCAACACACTGTTGAGTTTCCTTTAATGTGCCTTACACCCAATTCACACCAAAGCGCAAAGGCGCATAAGCGCAGCAGCACAGCACACGAGCAGCAGACACGCTGCTTTAGAACTCCATTTTAACCGGTCTGACAGTGTAACACCGACAGTGTCATACGCGCGTCCAACGAGCGTCTGACGCTGACGCGCTGCTCGAGATAGGTTGGAGTTCTAATTTTGCAGTGTCAACGTCTCCAAGGTTTTTTAGCAGGGGAAAGACAGGAAATAAACACGCGGTGTCAAAATAAACTTCCGATGCCCTTTCAAAATAATTTAACCAAAGTCAAGACAGCGACGTAAACAACGCGCGCGTGATTTATGATGTCAGACACCAATTCTACAAGGACCAAGGACTCAGGACTAAACCAGGACTAAACCAGGACCAGGACTCACTGTCGAAATGTGCTCGGAGGTCCTTCCGTGTAGACCCCAGTGTCCGGGGGTGAAAGGACCGGTGCAGAGCTTGGAGAAGAGGTACGCGCAGCCGTCGCGCTTTTCGGACACCTGCTCCGCGGGGCTCAGGGTTCGATATCTCTCTCTCTCTCCAAGATTAGACCTGATTTAGTCCGGGTTTAGTCATGGTTTAGTCATGGTTTAGACCTGGTTTAGACCTGGTTTAGACCTGGTTTAGACCTGGTTTAGACCTGAATTAGTCCTGACCCGCCCTTAAAATTCCAGAACTTTAAAACTCGCCCGTTTCAGCGACTATTTTCCCTTATCCATCGGTGCAGGACTCTGTATCAACATATAAATGTATAGGCCTTATTACCTGGACGGACATATGATTTTAATCACACTCATAATGTATGTTAATTATACGTGATTTTACCTTATTAAGGGAAAAAACTGAGGTGTTTAATGTGCCTGTTAATAGATTTAAACCTCATTAAACGCAAATGCGTTGCAGTTGTACACTTAATTCATAATACACTTAATACACATTCTAACTTAATACACTTTAACATAAAATAAATGATAAAAAGCAAGTACAAAATGTGATGTCTGAAAACAGTGAGAAGATGTGCAGGCTGCGTAGCAGGAGCGTCTCTGATGCTCTGGTGTGAATTGAAACTTTGAAATTTACGCGTACGCGCAGCTCCGCCTATGTTAAGCGCTGCTGCAGCTCCTGGTGTGAATTCGGGGTTACAGTCTAGTGCGGTTTATATGTGAAAAAAGTTTGAAAATAGACTATTCAATGACAGTGCACCTTATAATCCAGAGCGCCCTATAGTGCAGAAAATACGGTATTCAATATTTGAGTATGTGTTAACTCTTCTTCACTTCTGAAGTAAATAAACCCATTGCTATGCATTAAGGCACCTTTTTATAGAGGAAATAGTACAAGCTAGTCTGATTCATCAGCCAGTTTCACTTTGTGGAAACCATCTGACCTTAAAGCATTAGGATTCGTTCCCTCAACGTTAGGAGGATACTTTTTGGTCGTGACATATGTAATCTGCCAAATCCCATAGGAAGGAGAGCAATAAAGTCTTTCCCCTTGATAAAATTCACCAAACATTTTCTTTGTTCCAGCTTTAAATCCTCGATCTGGGGAATCGTTGCCAACACTAAATGTCTGTCTTCGTCTACATCCATCTCGACACTTTGTTTACTGTTGTGCTGTTCCACAAAAGGGACACAGAGAGACACTCAAGTTTGACATCATGGCTTCACAGCTCTTGGCTGATTGGCCGGTGCACGGTCTACAACTTCCAGAGTTCTTGCAAACTGCCTAGTGTATTCTGATTCCTGACCTAGTCACTGGAGAGAAATTAAATTGAGCAGAGCTACAAGGTGGCACCAGCCTGGCTAAGTAAAAGCCCTGAGGATGTGAAAATATCCTAAAGCCCTCAGATGATTAATTCCCTCCTTTAGGTTTTCTATCTGCAGCTAAACTACTGCTGGGACCTTTGTTTGTTTCTCTAGATAACTCTACACTGCCTGATGATGTGTGTAAATGATCACACTCAAATCATACACTAACCAGGCTTTACTCCAAAATGATGTGCACAACTAAATCAACCAACCACATTAAAAGTACCTGAGATGCCCAAGATGTCATTTAGTATGAATGGAAAATAATCTGTCAAAATCTCAATTGAGAAGAATCAAATAGAGTTCAAAATCACTTTTATTGGACACCAGCTAGGTTATATAAACTTCACTGATACAGACCATTAAAACCTCTAAAACTGTTAAATATTATACAAGGCTCCATACTATTTTTTTCTCATTAGTTTAGTATTTAGTATTTACTTCTTCTAAGTGAAATTAACTGAACAGGGGACAGAGGAGGAGCTGCTGCTTTAATAGAAGAGGTACAGAACAAGACTGATAAATAACCTAAATAAAATAAGAAAATGACAGATGGTGATGATGATGAAAAACACATATTATCATCAGCCTGTAAACATACTGGCATTGTAAATGTGTTCTAAATGGTTTTATAGAAGTTATGTTAGAAATTAGGATAAAAATGGGAAAAAGCGGTGGTAATTGGTTTGAACAATTAAACCAATTACCACAGCTATTCACCACTACCACAAAAAGGAGGAAAAAAAAAGACATTATGCGGGCACTACTAGAAAATAGTAATATTTCGACATAATTCTCATAAAATTACGACTTTAAAGTCACAATTTTACCAGAATAAATGTGCAATTTTACAAGAATAAACCTGAGTTTTTATGAGGATACAGTTGTAAGGTTGTAATTTTATCTTTAATGCTGAAGTGCAGAGAGACAGATTAATGCAGAAGAGCAATTTATCATCATGACCAGAGTGTAAAAGAATGGTACTTATTCAAGGTAAAAGTTTAAATACAAACCTATGTATGATGAATGTAGAACATTATATTGCTGGTCTTTAAAACTGCTGAATCATTTTCCACCAAGTGCGCCTCTGCACACAGCTGACTGCTCCTGGGCAGAACACCAATGGTGCTCCCACCCATAGCCAAAGATGAGAAGAAGGAGACTAGGCACAATTTTCACCATTATATGAAGACTGAGTGCTGCCTAACCTACAGTACAGTCAATTAAAATTGAAAAAAAAAATTGTATTTTTTTGCTTTGAAAAAAAAAAAGAAAAAAATAAAGGCCTTAGTTTGGTCATACTTCATACTAGGCATTTGTGACTCACTACACTCATTGTTCAAGTTGTTGGCAAAAACTGTGTAGAATTTCAGACCTCTCGGACAAAGGGTTTTGATGCTGTGAGCCTTTGTGTATACAAAATGACAATTCGGCACAAGATTGCCAAATTTGTGCCAAAATAATAATAATAATAATAATAATTGTTATTATTATAATACTAATTCTTCTGAGCTTTAGGCATGTTTTCTCAAGAAAAAAAAAAAAAAGTAGCCAAAATTGTCCTCCAAGTGGCAGATCTGCCAACTATGGCCCCTCCCGAACCGCTTGTCTGTGTCTCTCTTGTTGCGCTTGTAAACACAGCACCTGTTTCAAAGACTGTCTGCATGTCCCACCCACCGTTTGAAAGCTCTGGTGATAGGCTAAAACAATATGTCAATCACTTTCTGGAAGATCCAATGACTGAAGAGATTTCCCGTAAACAAACTGATGACGCGTGCGTAAAGCCAGGAAGTACATGGGTGCGTTAGCTTCTTCAGCGGCTTGTCCCAGCTAAACCCCGCCACCGACAACAGCGGGGAGGGTCTCATTTTGAAGCTAAGAGTGTGAGGAAAACAAGCGTACCCAAGAGCACCATGAGAAACGGAACTCAGAGAGGGAGAAGGCTCGGAAAGGCAACATATCATATTCATTCACGCTTTCATCCATTCCTACGGATGAGGATTTTCTGGATTATTTACCCACATGGAATTATTTTATGGAAAAAACAAGTTGATATTCTTTTTCTGTGGATTATTACGGACTTATTGAGTACAACTTTTCATGGATTGAACGCGTTTTGGACCGATAGAACTGGCTCAAAGGTAAGAAACGCGTATCTTATTCATAAAATGAATGATATGGATGTTTTATTGAGAAATTAAGCTTTCAAACGATGTATGGCATGCCAGTAGTGAAAACAATAATGAAGGTGAATATACAGTGTGAACATTTTTTATTGGAAAATCGCCCGCCGGCGGGCGGGTGGATGGTAAGTGGTAAGGCAAGAGTAAATCCTCATATGTGTCTGTTTACAGAAATGAGGATCGGGGTGAAGGGGTAATTGCAGATTAGTGACGGTAAACACAACTATTTCCTGTGTCCAAGTAATTGTTGAACTCTTCTGTGCACTGAAAGAAAATATTTCCCCACATTTCACAAATAATCACAGTTTTGATTTGCATATAAATTAGAGGTGCAATGATCTGGTCTTTTGAACATTTTAAAGCCTCAAAAGTGAGTCGTTCTACTGTTGACAAGAAGCAGCACACACAAGGTATGCTAGCTTGTTAGCTCACAACCTTTAGTTTATGTAAAGTCTCATTTTTGCATTTGGAGATTTTAAGATCTTCAGATGCTCTTGATGTTTATGGTTTTCTGTCACACATTTAAAAATCATAGTAACTGTGTAGTAGGCAATGAATGCAAATGTTTTCCACTACTTTGAAGGCCTGTCTGCCAAAATACAGATCAGAGGTCTTCAACATTTTTCAAGCCAGGGACCATATATATATATATATATATATATATATATATATATATATATATATATATATATATATATATATATATATATATATATATATATATGATCTGTAATTAATTAATCTAATTAATCTCATTTTAATCTCACCTAAAAATTGCTGAGAAAAGCCTTCAATTTGAGGTATTTTCATTTAAATTCATTATTACATTATTGTGGCAGATCAAAAAGACTGATATAGATTAAAAAAAGTGACTTTATAAAGTCATTTATTGTTTAACAAATCTCTCCAAATTGTCTGTTGAGCCCAAGTCTCCATGAATAAGAAACTGTTTGCTGTAAAGTAGCAAAGACGAGGAAATCTGAACATAATAACTTTTGTCTACTTAAAGACAATAAAAAGTCCAGTCTTTCCTTAACCATATTAAAAATATTATTGATAGAGAAATGCTTTATATATGAGATCACTGGTTTTAGTCCTGGTTTAGTCCTGGTTTAGACCTACTTTAGTCCTCGTTTAGTCCTGGAATGGATTAATCCTGGTTTTAGTCCTGGTGTTAGTTCTGGTTTAGACCTGGTTTAGACCTGGTTTAGACCTGGTTTAGACCTGGACTGGATAAGTCCTGGTTTTAGTCTTGGTGTTAGTTCTGGTTTAGAGGCGCACAGGAGGAAGCGCGGTTTACGCCGCGTACGCGAGAAAACACGATCCACACGCGGCTCACGGGAGGACAGCGATGTCCGCGCAGTGTCTACGGAAGGAAACGTGGTCCGCGCGTTCTCAGGTTAATGACGATGATGAAGGTGCGTGTTTGTTTGTGTCTGTGTGTGTTTGTGTGTTTGTGTGTGTTTGTGTGCGTGTCCCCTCATGTGGCAGGTCACTATAGGACAGTAGTGCAGACATCATGAGCCTATGCAGGTTGTTTTCAGGCGATATTATATTTGTTATTTTCTTTTATATTTCACGTCGGGAGAATAAATTCCAAGACACGAATGTGTTTTTACCTGTGCACTGCTGCCTCTGTTCTACTGGCTCTTTGACCTCGTCCATTGTGCGACTGATGCCGCCAACGTTAACATGCCGTTTACATCGCTGTTACTGCGCACGTTTTGTGTGGGTTTCTGGCAATGAGTGGAATTACCGAAATAAAAAAATGTATAAATGTGTTTTGTGTGTGTGTGTGTGTGTTGTTGTCCCAACAACACATAAAAACAGGTTTTATAATAAAGAAACTCACATACAAAACACTAAAGTTAGAGATTAAAAATGAGATTAACGCGATTAAAAAACATAACGCGCGCTAAATATGACTGTAATTAATTAATCGCAATTAACGCGATAATTTGACACCCCTTATATATATATATATATATATATATATATATCAATCATACAACTTGTTTTATATTATATTGGGCCTAGTGTCATACATAAACATAGCTACTCTGTTGTACATTCAATACTGGGGGATATTCCATAAAATTTGCTTAACAAGTCCAGGCTTATCCTGAAATCCTGGGCTGAAACTAGCTCCAGCTCCAGTTTAAGCCTCAACTTGATCCATGAGAGAAATAAGCCTTGAACCAAAGCTAATTCAGGGCTGCAGTTTAAGATGCATTTTGTGAGCACTCCCGGTGACTTTGAGAAGGCCAGCTCAATGAGTGCATATACATGCACATCAGTATCCCTGTATACCGGTTTCAGTATCCCAAAGAAGGAAGTATCCCGGTTATCCCGATAGTAACCAGGGTACTGTGACATGTAAACGCACTATCCCAGTTACTGCAACATAAAGTTGAGTGTGCATGCTTCCAAAAGACAAACACTTCTCAGTCTTTTCACCACAACAGTAGCCAACATGAATAAAGTGACCATACATGAGTGAAATCACTGCGCTAAACCTGCACACGAATCTGCATTCGTATGACCTGCACACGTCTGATTGCTAAAAAATTAAACATGAAACATCTCCTATGATATACACCCAGAACAGACTCACAATCATCAGCACCTCCTCTGTCACAGAAAAAAAACACATATTCCACTGAGCCATGTCCTTTAGTCTGACAGAAGCTGGGCTGATGTGGTTATGGTTTATATGTTGTAAAGCTTAGTTTATTTATGCAGAAGATTTAAATTAATCTTCTGCATAAATAAAAGTACAGCTGTAACGGACTTCACATGCACACAAACAAGAAACGATAAAATCCGGGCCAACATGTTTGCAGTCTGACAGGGAGCGAGAGATGAGGGAATGAAGAGAGAGACAGACGTGATGAAGGAGCAGCCAGAACCCACTGAAAACGACTTCATCCTCACCTTCAAAAATGAATATATACATAGTAATATATACATCTAATCAACCAAAGATTTTGCGACCCCCTGTTGAAGACCTCCATATATTATAGATGATAAACAGTAATGTAAAGGTTATGCCACTGACACAATAATCCAAAAGGGCTATCTCAAAAACTATTCTAAATAAATACAGATCAGACTGAAACACTTAAGGAGAGTATTTTACTTCTATGTGCTAACACATAATATATGTAGATCACCTTGTTACCCTTTATTGTTTTGAAAATACTATAGTCATCAAAAATAACGTATTGACATATTGAACATATTGAAAAGTTTCACTTTTGACCTTTATTTAATCAGGATAGTCCAGTTGAGATTAAGAAACCGGAGCACCAGAAGAAAACCTACACAGACTAGAGATGCGCGGATGGGCTATTTTTTCATCCGCAACCGCGACACAAAACTCATCATCTGCCCGCTGTCCATTTTGCATCGAAGGTTTACAAAACCGCACCCGCCGCCATCCGCCGATTGATTTTAGATTTTAGAACAATCATACAGCAAACAAACTAAGGAGCCTCGATAAAAATGCAAACTCTATAGCTCATTCATTCCAAAATTCGCTCAGCGTGTATATTCGCATTCTTAATTGTCCGTAACAACCCCAAACTTACCTGGTTTTCTTGTGCAGCTAATTAACTGACAATGTTTTCCGATTAGGCTATTTTTGCACCTTCTTGCCTTCCTGTTGGATGTTGTTACATTCTGAACATTCTGCAATTGCCCGATGTTGTTTCAAAGTCATAGCCTCACTCCATCGGTCTTTCTTTAAGTTTTAAATACCCCGAGTGGCAGTCTACGCTATAATGTCTGCGTGTTTTAAAATATAACTGATATCGAAACAAAATAGACAGATCATCTCATCCAGATGAACCTTTATTGAAATCAGGCAATGCCCTCTTCATATTCCAATTGAAATAGGCAAGAAAAAATATGCATAACTAAATAAATATGGCCCTATAGCCACTTATGTGTTGGCAAACAGCTGAAATAAATTAGAAATAATAAAATAAACTGCATATAATATGTGCCTCCTAAACCTTAGGCTATCAATAACCCGACACAACCTGAACCTTCAGAACATAAAAACGAGGTCAAATGGGCTAATTAAGGATATGACGTACACTTCATACTACAAGCACAGACAATGAGACTCATCTTTTCAGATGTAGGTAACAATACTAACAATAACTTTTTTTTTTTAGTAGTTAAACCGCCACCCGCCCGAATTTAATTAAAATCTAATTTTTCATCACATCATCCGCGGATACCGCGGTTGTAACCGCAATCCGCGCATCTCTAACACAGACACATAATTTTTGCTCTTCTCTCTTTGCTCTTTGTGCTCAGTTACTCCCACTTCAAAACTCCCACTCACAATTAGCATGCATTCCACTAATTAAACTACAGCCCATTGCATCAGGTTGTGTACAGTTTTTCTCATCCTGTTTTTATATATTTATGGAGAATTGTCCTGTGGATGGCACACACTTGTTGGCTGAGCATCGCACAGAATCTTCCAGCTCTCTACAGTAAGGAGTGTTCAAATAGTGCCCGGGAGAGATATTACTAAAATACTCAAAATCGCATGGAAGATATCAGGGAACAACCTTATAACATGGCAGAATACTCAAAGTCGATTTTACACAATACCTATATTTAACTGGTTTGTGCCTATAATGAGTTGTAGAAGTTTTGGTTTTATTTATTCAACTCTATACAGAACAAAGAAAAAGCACCCAAGATAAAAGTTGCCTGCCCCCCCCAAAAAAACAATTGTTTCATCTATCATGTATGAAATGATATGTGGATAATGGAAGTGGAAAGCCCTAGAACAGGAGTGTAGTCCCGGTCCCTACTCTTAGATCACGCATCAACTGGGAACTGGTATTAAAATAAAAAACTATGTTAAAAAAAAAAAAGTTACAGTGTGAAAACTGCTACTGTTAGGATGTCAACAGTGGATGTACAAGCTCACCTTTTACAGTAGGAGAGTCCTGGTGCATGGGACAACCCTGGGGGGGAACTGCCATGGCCTCGGCTCGGACAGTGGACGGTGCTGGAGTGGTCAGGGATGTACCCATCTGTACAGAGAAGCCAGTTTAACACACAGCATTATAACATTTTCAAGTTCATGTCCCTTTAACAAAAACAGCAGCTTGCAACCGAAACATGTCAACAAGGTAAATACACCTCCAACTGTATTGTCTTTAAAAAGAACCCAAGAAGTGAATGTACATAAGAAAACCAAATAAATGTTTTTGGATACATTTTACAGAGTCAAATATTGACAGGGTCAGTGGCAGCTGGTCAAAAGAGGGCGCAAGTGCATCATACTCCCTAACTTGACCTAGATTAAAAAAAAGAAAAAAAAAATATATGTATATATATATATATATATATATATATATATATATATATATAGTCGTTATTTTGTATTAGTCTATAAGTTTAATATTTTGTTTAAAATTGAATGTGTATCTGCATAGACATATTTTTATCACGTTAAATGTGCTCATGTCACTTTATTTGAGTCATATGCTTTGAATTTGAGTGTGGTGGGTTGGAGTGACTTAATGGGAGTTTCTATGGAAGAGCCTGAAGTTTTGAGAAAATCTGATGTCATTATGTTGTTTCTGCCCATGACTTTACATTAGTCCAAAAAACTGAGTTGGGGGTGCAGGGCGGGGGCGCCATGAAATCAAGTGATTGGTCTGAATAAACATTAACACACACCTTGACCTATTGTGGTTCAGCTGCTCGCTCTGTCGCTCAGCCCAGACTCTGTACTGACGCATGTTACTGCTACAGGCTAATGAATGTAGCACAACAGAGCTGTGTGCTGTACAGTTATGGCGAGTTCATACAAGTACGTCCGAGGAACAGTTTTAGGGAGTAAGAGCAAGAAAAGAAGCATTAAGCTGGAATGAGTGCTTCTGGCTGTGGTGAGATACTACAGCTCTTATTCTGATTTACACAGTGGCTAATGACGGCTAGCGACTTTTGCTTAAACCTCTCGACAGTAAAGCCCGAGAAAAGATCCGCCGCAGGGACCCAGGACCCACTCGCTGCCTGAGCCAGGGCAGTCGCTCACTGCTCTATCCGCCTCTGCCTGCTTGTTTTTCAGTGTAAAAGTTTCACTGGGCGTAGCGCACAGAGGGCATAAATCCACCTGGAGCCCTAGTGCTAATATGAACTGGTGTAACTTTCAGATTTAAGTGTCTTGTCATGGACCTCACGGGACTGGGATTTGGACCAGTTTGATCTCTTTGTATTGGACAATACACTTTTGGAGACAGAACAAATGGAACAGGGGATAGAGGAAACTGCTTCAGTCTCTGGAGAAGGCAAGAGGCTGGTTTTCATTATTCTGGGGCAAATCTGAAGATGGAGCCTCATAGGTAATTAGTGTTATAGTGTTAATAGTTAAATAGTGCGTAAATGAGCTCATGGGTGCGTTGGAGCTGCTCTGGTTGTTCTGTCGTGTGCTGTAGGAGCGGTAGTTCTGCTGACGTTGTTGGGGCTGGGTGTGAGCGCCGTGTTACGTTGTGTTGATGGGGGCTGGGTGTGAGCGGTGGATCAGGTTGTGCTGCTGTGTAAACTTGGGTAAACTTGTGTAGAACTGCGCTTGTTTGTGCATTGTGCTCTGACAGTTCAGCCAATAGTGACCAAAATGACTGTCTGTTTCTGTTTCGTTATAATACTATATAGTCTATATATAATACATATATTAATAATATATATTTATAATTTTGGCCTTGGCGCACCCCCCAAAAATTCTACTATCAGCTGCCAGGGCGCAAGGTTACTTGACATGACACCCATTTTTGGCATAATCACTTAAATTACTTTGTAAATAATATTTTTCTTCCTCAAAATTCAATTCAACCGAGCATAAATATGTATTCCATAAATTACATACAGTTTGACAATAACGTTTTGTTGCATTTGTTTGTAACAAACACTAAAATGTCCAGCTCTGTAAGTAACTCTTCCCTTTTTAAAAAAAACCTCTAAAGAGTAGAGTCTCTTCTGTCTCGGTTGCTTAGCGACGGGAGAGGCTCGTGGACTACACCTGTCCCATTTCGGCGTGGCCTTTACGCTCCGCGGAGGTTACATGGAGGACTGCAGCCTTCGACATGGAACACGGTTAGTGTCAACACAGTGTTTGAAATGTGTTACACACCTTGAGGCCTCATTATCCATCACTACTTGTTACTATGGCAACTCTGATTAGCCACTTTAGATCTCTTCATGGAATTTCCGAATATTTTTAATTTGTTTTATTTTATTTACAATGACTCGGAGATTATATTTATATTATGACTTGTACTGATGTAGTCACGTGTTTACGTGAGACTGGCAGGAGTAAGTTTATGGCCGGTGTTGTATGTTCGATGTGCTGGAACAACACACGTGAGGAGACTGAACGGAACACTGACAACATGAGCGAGTACTGTCCAGCTGTTACTAAGAGTAATACTTGATAGTAATAATAATAATATTTCATAATAATACTGGATACTCGTACCCGCTCCTGTTCTTTCTGCTCTCCTTGTCTGACCCGGGCAATGCGTGTATCTAACCGGGTTAGCTTAGCCTTCTTAGCAAATCCGATGTACTTCAGTATTGTCTTTGCGAAGTTAGTTTACATGTCACTGCGGCTCTAGCTGGACATAATGACAGTTCACTGTTACACAAAGACAAGTGAGATGTTACCTGAAAGCTGCGTTCAGTGCGGTGTTAGAGAAGCGTGTTTACTGCCCAATGTCAGAGTGCGCTCCGCTCGGGCTTCAATGCGCATGTGCGGTGCGCTCTTACCAAACGGACGTTTCGCAAGCGCAACGTCTTCTTCTTTGTTTCACTTCCGTTGATATCGAGCTTAAATGAACATTGCTGCCCCCTCATGTTCCGGCGCCCTGTCAAACTGCGCTTCTCCGTCGAGATACACACCCGCCCAGGACTGGACTGGCAGAAGAAACTGGCTCTGGACGTTTTTGGTCTGGACTGTCCGGTTGGACAAATGTTAATATTATTATTATTATTATTATTATTATTATTATTATTATTATTATTATTATTATTATTATTATTATTATTATTATTATCAATAGGGTAAATGGTATTTGCTACACAAGGCCTAATGCTTTTCATTGTTTTTAATAAGCCTTATAATTAATGTTGTTGGTTATCATTCATTAAATGAAATAGGTGATTCTTGAGAGTCAAGACAAAACAGGTCCAAGCAATTTGTAGAAAAATATTTTTTTAAATATTACAATTGACATAGGCCTACATATACTGGAGCTAATTATTTGAGAATATTATTGATGTTTTTGGGAGTACATTTGGATGTAAATGCAAATGAAATTTTTTAGGTCAATGTAATTTTTTGTGTCCTCCACAAGAGATCAGAGTTGTCCTGCTCAAAACATTCAAAAACTTTTGTTTGAATAAAATTGCAATAAATTGAATTGAAAGGCTTTAAATATCGAAAATATTAACAAAAGAACAACTTAGAATTAAATGTTAAGTTTTATTTAACAATCAAAATTACACATCATTTTCTGCCAACATAAAAAATGTTGGTCGAAAAATGTTGATGAAAGCTATTTCTGCAGTTTGGAAGTGTAGTCCACTAAACACTTTTTGGTACTGCCTGTATACTGTATCTTTATTATAGATTTTGTCTCTACCTTACTGGGAGACACACATAGATATCTATATATATATCTATATATATATCTATATATATATATATATATATATATATATATATATATATATATATATAGAGAGAGAGAGAGAGAGAGAGAGAGAGAGAGTGATAATAAAAAATTAAAAAAAAAAGAAAAGTATATAAATAATAATAAATAAAAATTTACTGAAAACTGTCCAACAAAAAACAAACATTGTTTTTCACATGGACTCTGTTCTCTAGGGACAGTGATGTAAAACAGTGTCTGTGTAAAAACAGTGTCTGTGTAAAAACTGTGTCTGTGTAAAGACAGTGTCTGTGTAAAGACAGTGTCTGTGTAAAGACAGTGTCTGTGTAAAGACAGTGTCTGTGTAAAGACAGTGTCTGTGTAAAGACAGTGTCTGTGTAAAGACAGTGTCTGTGTAAAGACAGTAGTGTGGTTGTTGTGTTGTTGTAAAAACATTTGAGTGACCTTTGTGTTTGTGATGTTCCAGCTCCAGAGAGAGGACAGCCCTGGACCCTCCACCTCTGGGTCAGCACTGGCACCTCAGCGGGTAAGGCTTATTTACACACATGTTGGATGGACATATATCACATTATTATCTGTGTATAACTTGTATATGATTACATTAAAGCTCTATTTAAGTTACATAATATGTCTGCATGGTTTAACCTGACATGACCTTCAGCTGTTCATGTACTGGAGGAATATTCTGTATGTAGCTCATGTTTATTACTGACTCTGCAGACACCTCCAGAGCAATGTGGAAGTAGTGACATCTCACTGTGACGAGTGCACCCTCCGCTGGACATGCTCTCAAAGTGCACTAGTTTCCAGTCCACCCAAAAGTTCCACACAATTCCCTTGTTTGAGCTCCTGATGAGTAATTTCCAGAGGAATAGTGAAAAAACAATTAGTTTTATCCTGTTCAGAGCATCTAGAACAACCAAATACACAACAAAACCTGCCCATGTTTCTTCGATGCTACTGAAGTCAGTGACATAGCGTCCCCGGTGTCATGGCGGCATAGGTACCGTTGCTATAGGGGTCACGTGACGGTGCAAAGCCTCTGTACGACACTTGATGTTTCTATCAATATATAAAGCCACACCTCCTCCTCTCTTACGCTCTCTATTTGTACTAGGGGTGTCAAATTATCGCGTTAATTGCGATTAATTAATTACAGTCATATTTAGCGCGTTATGTTTTTTAATCGCGTTAATCTCATTTTTAATCTCTAACTTTAGTGTTTCTGTATGCGAGTTGCTTTATTATAAAACCTGTTTTTATGTGTTGTTGGGACAACAGCACACACACACACACACACAAAACACATTTATAAATTTTTTTATTTCGGTAATTCTACTCATTGCCGGAAACCCACACAAAACGCGCGCAGTAACAGTGATGTAAACGTTATATAAACGTTGGCGGCGTCAGGACGAGGTGGAAGAGCCAGTAGAACAGAGGCAGCAGTGCACAGGTAAAAACACATTCGTGTCTTGGAAATTCTTCTCCCGACGTGAAATATAAAAGAAAATAACAAATATAATATCGCCTGAAAACAACCTGCATAGGCTCATGATGTCTGCACTACTGTCCTATAGTGACCTGCCACATGAGGGGACACGCACACAAACACACACAAACACACAAACACACACAGACACAAACAAACACGCACCTTCATCATCGTCATTAACCTGAGAACGCGCGGACCACGTTTCCTTCCGTAGTTACTGCGCGGACACAGACGCGTGTGAACCGTGTTTTCTCGCGTACGCGGCGTAAACCGCGCTTCCTCCTGTGCGCCTCTAAACCAGAACTAACACCAAGACTAAAACCGGGACTAACCCAGTCCAGGACTAAACCAGGACTAAACCAGGTCTAAACCAGGACTAACCCAGTCCAAGACTAAACCAGGACTAAACCAGAACTAAAACCAGAACTAAAACCAGAACTAAAACCAGGTCTAAACCAGGACTAAACCAGGATTAAACCAGAACTAAAACCAGAACTAAAACCAGGTCTAAACCAGAACTAACACCAGGACTAAAACCAGGATTATCCATTCCAGGACTAAACTAGGATTAAAGCAGGTCTAAACCAGGACTAAAACAAGGACTAAAACCAATGATCTCATATATAAAGCATTTCTCTATCAATAATATTTTTAATATGGTTAAGGAAAGACTGGACTTTTTATTGTCTTTAAGTAGAAAAAAGTTATTATGTTCAGATTTCCTCGTCTTTGCTACTTTACAGCAAACAGTTTCTTATTCATGGAGACTTGGGCTCAACAGACAATTTGGAGAGATTTGTTAAACAATAAATGACTTTATAAAGTCACTTTTTTTAATCTATATCAGTCTTTTGATCTGCCACAATAATGTAATAATGAATTTAAATGAAAATACCTCAAATTGAAGTATTTTTTCAGCAATTTTTAGGTGAGATTAAAATTAGATTAATTAGATTAATTAATTACAGATCATAATTAATTAATCTCTCAATTTTTTTAATCGCATGACAGCACTAATTTGTACAAAACATTTCATACCCCTTCAAATTCAACTCTGTCCCTTTATCCCCTTTTATCCACGACTCTGAGATTTAATTATGTTAAAAGTGATTTGAATTGATTCAGATAATCTTTAATGCATTTGAAATTGGAACATAAACTCCATCCATCCATCCATTTTCGTCCGCTTATCCGGGGCCGGGTCGCGGGGGCAGCAGCCTAAGCAGGGACTCCCAGACTTCCTTCACCCCAGACACGTCCTCCAGCTCCTCTGGAGGGACCCCTAGGCGTTCCCAGGCTAGCCGAGAGACATAGTCCCTCCAGCATGTCCCGGGTCTTCCCCGGGGCATCCTCCAGGTGGGACATGCCCAGAACACCTCCCGAGGGAGGCGCCCAGGAGGCATCCGGAACAGATGCCCGAGCCACCTCAACTGGCTCCTCTCGACGTGGAGGAGCAGCGGCTCTACTCCGAGCTCCTCCCGTGTGACTGAGCTCCTCACCCTATCTCTAAGGGAGCGCCCAGCCACCCTGCGGAGGAAACTCATTTTGAGCGCTTGTGTCCTTTCGGTCATTACCCAGAGCTCATGACCATAGGTAAGAGTAGGAAAGAAGACTGACCAGTAAATCGAGAGCTTCGCCTTTCGGCTCAGCTCCCGCTTCACCACAACGGTCCGATTCAGCGACCACATCACTGCTGAAGCTGCACCGATCCGCCTGTCAATCTCATGTTCCGTCCCCCCCTCATTCGTGAACAAGACCCCGAGATACTTGAACTCCTCCACTTGAATCAGGGACTCTCCACCCACCCGGAGAGGGCAAGCCACCTTTTTCCGGTCGAGAACCATGGCCTGGGACTTGGAAGAGCTGATCTTCATCCCAGCCGCTTCACACTCGGCTGCAAACCGCCCCAGTGCACATTGCAGGTCCTGGTTCGATGAAGCCAACAGGACAACATCGTCCGCAAACAGCATCGATGAAATCCTGTGGTCCCCAAACCGGACCCCCTCCGGCCCCTGACTGCGTCTAAAAATTCTGTCCATAAACACAATGAACAGAACCAGTGACAAAGGGCAGCCCTGGCGGAGTCCAACATGCACCGAGAACAGGTCTGACTTACTGCCGGCAATGAGAACACAGCTCCTGCTCCGGTCATACAGGGACCGGACAGCCCTTAGCAAAGGGCCCCGGACCCCATACTCCCAGAGCACCCCCCACAGGACACCACAAGGGACACGGTCGAATGCCTTCTCCAAGTCCACAAAGCACATGTGGACTGGTTGGGCAAACTCCCATGAACCCTCGAGCACCCGATGGAGAGTGTAGAGCTGGTCCAGTGTTCCACGGCCAGGACGAAAACCACACTGCTCCTCCTGGATCCGAGATTCGACTATCGTCTGGATTCTCCTCTCCAGTACCCTGGCATAGACCTTACCGGGAAGGCTGAAGAGTGTGATCCCCCTATAGTTGGAACACACCCTCCGGTCCCCCTTCTTATACAGAGGGACCACCACCTCGGTTTGCCAGTCCAGAGGTACTGTCCCTGACCGCCATGCGATGTTGAAGAGGCATGTCAGCCAAGACAGCCCCACAACATCCAGAGACTTAAGGTACTCAGGACGGATCTCATCCAAC